TTAGAAAAGAAACTAGACTACTTCTTTACGTGTGACCTAAAACTCATGTGACAGTTTGTCAATTTCCCTTCTGTATTTTGATGAAGTTTTCAAATGTTTACACAAGTTTTTCTTTTCTTTTCTTTTTTTTTTTGGACAGGCAGAGTGGACAGTGAGAGAGAGAGACACAGAAAGGTCTTCCTTTTGCCGTTGGTTCACCCTCCAATGGCCGCTGCTGCCGGCGCGCTGCGGCCAGCACACCGTGCTGATCCGAAGCCGGGAGCCAGGTGCTTCTCCTGGTCTCCCATGGGGTGCAGGGCCCAAGCACTTGGGCCATCCTCCACTGCCTCCAGGGCCACAGCAGAGAGCTGGACTGGAAGAAGAGCAATAGGGACAGAATCCAGCGCCCCGACCGGGACTAGAACCCAGTGTGCCGGCGCAGCAAGGTGGAGGATTAGCCTGTTGAGCCGCAGCGCCGCCTTTATACAAGTTTTCCTAGAAGAATCATTCTAAGATTTGCCTACTAGTATTAGATTACTCCTAAATATTTTCTCCAATGGGAGTGCCGTTTTGAGAAAATCTATTTTGTCAATAGGTATTATAAGATAAAAATTACCTAACTCTGTGCCATCTGCCTGTATTTTCATGTTTCCCTTCTCAGCCTATTCATATCAGGGTGCACTTGTATTTCCTTTAAAGCCTCTTACAAGTTGTTATTGTTTTTTTCTTTTTTCTCACACTTTATTCCTCAGAAAATTTTATATTTTTTCTGCCTTCATGTTCTTTCCCTTTATTGTCATGCATTTCTATGTTGTCAAAATTGCTTTCCTCCCCTCCCCTCCCCTCCCCTCCCCTCCCCTCCCCTCCCCTCCCCTCCCCTTCCTTCCTTCCTTCCTTCCTTCCTTCCTTCCTTCCTTCCTTCTTTTCTTTTCTTTTCTTTTCTTTTCTTTTCTTTTCTTTTCTTTTCTTTTCTTTTCTTTTCTTTTCTTTTCTTTTTTTGTAAAGATTTTCTTATTCAAAAGGCAGAGTTACAAAGAGAGGGAAAGGAGAGCTGGCATCTACTGGTTCATTCCCCATATTAGGAAAAGAGTTGCAGATTGGTGCCTCCTCACACGGGGCACCGAAATGTTAAGAAAAGAGGCGCAGAATAGAGAGGAGGCAGTGTACGAATTTGCAGCCAGACCAAACTTACTCAGAGAAAATAAATCGTAGAGGTAGGTGACCAACTGCCCATTTGCCCATGATGGAACATGTGGCAGAAGGTCCTGACCCTGGAGGCCAGGCCTTTTTATATTTTAGGAGGGCTGGGGATGGGGGTAGAGTAGAGGTCAGCAGGCAGAGAGGAATTCTTGAAACTGGTCTTTCAGGTGTCTGTAAGAGGTGGGGTATGAAGGTAATAGGGTGTGAGACCCAGTTGAGTTTCAAGGGCAAGGAATACATTCCCAAGTTTATCTCTTTGGGGCAATGAGGGAAAATAGCTGAGGCTTATGTCCTTATTCCATCACCCCAAATAGTTAAAATGGCCAGGCCAAAGTCAGAAGCCTGGTGCTCCACTTGGTTCTCCCACATGGCTGGCAGGAGACAAAATACGTGGCCATGTTCCGCTGCTTTCCCAGGTGTATCAGTAGGGAACTGGATCAGAAGCAGAATAGCCAAGAATTAAACCAGCGCTCTGATATGGGATGCTGGCATCCCCTAGTCTCCAAGTTTTCAACATTTTAGAAAATTAAATAGATCTCTCTGTTTCTTTGTATTATTTGTGGAATGATTTTCCTACTATCCTTTTATTATTCATTTTTTAAAAATTGATTTTATTTAGTTGAGAGGCAGAGTTATAGAGAGAGGCAAAGACAGACAAAAGTCTGTCTTCCATAAGCTGGTTCACTTCCCAAATGGCTTCAACAGCCGGAGCTGAGCTCGTCCAAAGCCAAGAGCCAGGAATTTCTTCTTAGTCTCTCACATGGGTGCAGGGGACCAAGCACTTGGGCCATCCCTCCAAGTGCATTAGCAGGGAGCTGGATCGGAAGTGGAGCAGCCGGGGATCTAATTGGGCCCCTTATGGGATGCCAGCACTGCAGGCCGGGGCTTTAACCCACTGCATCACAGTGCCGGCCCCCCTACTATCCTTAATATTGCTTCCTAATGCATCGTCCAGCTCACTAGATCTTGTGGACATTACTCCATTATAGCACCACAATGGAATTTCATAATAATGACCTTGAGTTAACAGGAAAATACTAAGTTGTTATAAGTGTATACCTTCACTTATATCCTACTTTTTGGTAGATTTTTATCCTGCATAAGAAATGAGTCCTTGTCTTCCAGTATCTCATCATGTAATGGGTAATATGCATGTGAAGAGGTATAAAATAATACGGCGTGTCTGCCTATGATGAGAGTACCTGAAAAAATATGAGAACGAAGACATCATTTTCTCCTAGGCTGGTCTGAAAATTTTTCATATAAGATTTGAATGGAATTGGAGTTGAACATTGAGGCTTGAAAATAATTTTAAGAAGAAAAGAGGGCAAAGATAGATCATTTTCAGAGGGGAGTCTGAAGGACACTTAACAAAAAAAAATGAATAAATCAAATTGCATCAGAAAGTTCATGTTAGGTAATAGTTGTAATATTGCTGGAAAAGTAGATGAGAATGAGATTGGGAGAGGACCCTGTTTGCTAGGCTAGTGTTATGTATTTGATTCAGGAGGACAGAGGAATCTATTGATTTTTGTTTTTTTAATTAGGGTCGTGACATGATAAAGCAGTCACTGGGAGAGGAATGTGACAGTGGTGTGTAGCATGGATTAGGTGGGAGCAAATGCAGGCAAGATGGGAGATAATTGCCATGCGCACGTGTGGACTCACCAGTGCCGGGTCTATGTTCCTGTTGGATGGAATGTGTTGATGTGAAGGATGGGGACACAGTTTTCCAAGAGAAGGAGGGGCTGGCGTGAAAAGGAAGTTGATGCTGCTTCCTTGTGGTGGTGGGTCATCCCAAAGGAACTTTACAGAACTGGGTTAAAGGTAGGGTACCCATGCTCATGCCTCCATATAGGAAAGTGTCACTTTATACAGATTTGCAGGCACAAAAAATCAAAGAAGTGCTCTTTGTCAAACACTGTTCTGGTTGATCCTTCCACGCAGCCATTGTTCAGTGCTTCCTCAGAGCACGAAGGCCTGGGTGTCTTTTCACATCCCTATGGGGACAGCTGGAGTGAGGAAGGTTCTGGTAGGGGGAATATGAATTAACACATGGAAGATGACCACTACAACCTTTTTGATGCAAAGTGAGTGTTCAGGTCTAGTTAAAGAAAGTGCAGGAAGACTGGGTCCTGAAGCCTTTTATTCTCAGCTATTCCCCAGCCCATCTGGTTTCTTCAACTTCCTAGGTTTCTGTGAGCACAGCACAGGTAATATCGCTGAGGAAGGCAATTCCATATGCTTCTGTGGGTGCAATGGATATTACTCTTATTATTTAACCTCATGTTAAAAAGTAGTTGCTTTTATTATTATAAATGCTCTGAATTAGAATGCTAATTTAGTCAAATGATCATGATAGGCTTATCTCAAATTGTAATGCACAGATTATTTTTTAAGTCATGCATACTTAACCAGTTTTCAGTAGTTATAAGTGGTTAGGTATTACTTCCTGTTGAATTAGCAGTTGCTGAGTAGTTGAGTCTTTGTACAATCCTGCAATCCACTAATGCGATATTTAATGAGAAGACATCAGTCTGGAGAAAGGTAGTCAATATAAATCAGTGTTTACAAAGTGTGATTAACTCTGAAATATTTCATCAATGCTGTGGTCCCAGGCAGACTCTATGCTAATTACTAGACGCTGTGCACGTTTCAGGGGGCTTGGAGGACCCTGAGCATTGCAAACATGGAGCAGCAAAATTGCAATTATGCTCGGACCGTCTCTGATGACAATTTATGCATTTGGTGTGATGACCTCCCCCTTCCCAGGAGGACAATAAACAGAATGCATTTTCATTAAGATACTAATGCACTTAATCACAAGGGGAAAGGGCTAGGAAGTAACGAAAGACCTTCAAGCACTGTGTGACAGAGCTGATGGGGAGGCTTTATTTTAAAGGCAGCCTCTTTAGAAAATTGTGGCAGCCCCAAAGTGCATCCTGCACAGGCACTGGCACTAATTGAAAAAAATTTGGATCTTCTGGTTCCGTACTTTTCATTTCAAATATGTAGAAGCTACCATAAATGATGTAAAGTCTAATAGTAAAAGTATGATTTCATAGCAGTTTATTCTAATGTGTAACATTTTCAGGGCATTTGAATGTTTGGAATTAAAAATGCAAATAATGTTGATGGCCATGATAATGACAGTGACAGTTGTCATCATCATCTTCATCATCACCATCAATAAGCGTCTACCAAGCTTAGTACTGTGTTGCCAGGCTCTGGTGTGTGTTGCAGCAAGACCTATGTCATTTGTGTCTCTGTCTAGGAGCTTACCCTGAAGTCCCAAATTTTCCAAAGTACAGTTTAGATTGTTTGATGCCGGAGAGACAATGAACCTGATGCACTAAAGCTTTAGTAACCAAAAGAAATCTGGAATCCACAATACAAGAATCCAGTCCCACTGCTGGCATTGTTATGACTATAATCCAATTAGACCTTTCTTTTGGATCCTTAGATTCTGGGTGACAGTTCCTCTGCAAAGGTCTTCTAGGCATAACGTTTTTATCTTTAAAACAAGAACCCCCAAAGCTTCCAAGTCTATTATGTTCATAGAAGGGTGGATTTAAATCCTGGGAGGAGCTTCACCATGTGCCTCCCAGCACTCAGTGCGTCTTCAGAGGTTGTGGGCCAGCACCCACATCCAGCTTCATGGTATTTCGCACATTCTCTGTGGATCTCCGGGGACTTCTTTTGTGGCCGGGCTTGGGAGTAGGGGGCGGACAGGAGAAGCAGGGTCGACATTGCCTTTGGGGTACTCCTCTGTGTTGGGTCTTGCAAGTTTCACAGCTGCTTTTCTTCCAACTCTGTTTTAGGAAACATAGAATATAGCTGCCCTGCCACGAATGAGTGTGAAATCACAAAGCGCAGACGTAAATCCTGCCAGGCTTGCCGCTTCATGAAGTGTTTAAAAGTGGGCATGCTCAAAGAAGGTAAGGCACTCTGCTAGTGTCACTGCTTTAGACTGGGGGGAGCCGGCGGGTGGGGGGTGTCGGCATTGCAGGGAATCGCACCAGTTTTAGAGAAACCAGATGGGGTGACAGTAAGTATCCGGAGTCTGAGGGCAGAACACTCCTTATTTACACCCAAGCTTTCTGATTCCTGTGGCTAACTGCTTGACATCAATGTAAGGGAACAAGGTAGGACACTCGTTCCAGCACGCATCCTCTTCTGGTCTTTTCATCTTTACAATCTGTAGAAGACAAACGATGAAGACAAACCAAGATGAGATCGTCATTGTCTTTTTGTTCTTTTCTCATTCATTGCTAGGTTCACAGAGAGGCTTTTAAAAAAATGAATCTTAAGTTTAAAACACTTGTAACTTTTTTCCAACTTCAACATTTATACTTATTTTTAATTATAAAGGGCTTGCAATATGATACTAAAATTGCTTTCCATTGGCTATAACAACAGCAAACACAAGTGAGCTTATACTCTCTGCTAACCAAATTGCCTAACTCTCAGAGTTAATAAGAGCCAGGAACTGAACTCATTGATTCTGGATACCACTCAACTACTCCACACATTTCACAGATCCTGACTTGTTTGTTTATTTCTGCACATCTTGTGAAACTAACAGTTTAGCTTGGAGATGGAGACAATTTGTTCATTTTAGGAGGAGACCTACCATTTAGTTTTAGTGTTTCTTTTAATATATCCCTATACATGTGTGTGTGTATTTGTAGATGTACATTTTTTATACTGGAGTTAGATTTTTCCCTTCTCATCACAAATTTCAAATTTAAAAGAGTTTAAAAATAAATATGAGTAACAGTGAAAATATGGTAATTAAATTTTGAAAAAAATTTAGGTTAATTAAGTGCTGAAATGTGTTGCTTCTATTGCCTAGTAAAAATAGACTTGGTTCCTGGGTTTGGCTCGATCAGTTTGTATATTTTATTGCTCCTGGAGATCCTCTATTTTTTAACTTCTAAATCTGATCCTTGTGTTATTTCCCCAAGAATGAACCAGAGTTTTCAGTTGGGTGTGGCATTATTAGATCTCATGATATTCCTTGGTTTATTCTTATTCTAAGATTTTTACCATAAACAGTGTTAGGGAAAGATGAGTAGATCTGATTCTATTTGGATACATGGAACTCAGGCTATATTTCTCTGTCTCTTGTCTGCTCAAAACAAGAAGACCTTCATATTCTTTTCATCTTCACCTTGAAAAAGAGCTGTAAACAAATGAGTGTATAACTTTGTAATTAAACTCTTAGGAAATGATGACCAAGATATATTGTGAAACATAAAAATAAAAAGATATTTAGTAGTTCGATTTCATATATATGTACGCACATACACACATATTATCAATTGTGCATACACACAAGAGGACTTTAGAAAGGTCATGGAAAAGAGAATTAAAATATAATCTTATTTTGATGCAGAAAAATGTCGGAATCCATGTATAGTTTCCTCATAATATTTATTTTATGAACTTTTTAAAGACCCCTATATGCATGAATTTCAATATTCCTTATGCCAAAAATAAACATATCCTTTAGTATCATTTTCTGTGAGCTTTGTGTGTGCCTGTGTGTAGGTGTGTGTATGGTGGCAGAGAAACGGACAGCAGAAAGAATGGTAGAAGGTCAACACCCAGGGTGGCAGTATATTTCTGGAGAAGTGGAGGGAGGGATACATAGAGATTAGTGATACGGTTATACCTGTGAACCACCAGGAAGATGGGGGATAGCCTTTGGTGGTGTTAGGATTTTTCAGTTAATACGTTTTACATTCATAATCCACTTAATGACTGTTTTCTATGGCCCTTCCACATGCCAGAATCATTACTCTTCCTAGAGAAAACTGAAGTGAAAACACCGAGGGAACAGTTTTTGACAAGGGCAAACATGTCAATGAAATTCAACAACAATAACCCAGTCAGCAAGATAGAAAGTTTTCCTTTTAATTAGGATGATGATAATAACTTACTTTGTGGAGGTAGAAAACTTTATCTTAGCCATTGTCTTAAATCATAATGTAATGAACAAAACATATTTCCAAAGGTAATAAGTGATCAATAGTCACTTTTTTTTGGTTTTATTTATATCTATGCTGCCTCTTAGTTGAATTGTAGAAACTGGAACTCAGCACTCACTCAAAAAGACTTAAGACTAGTTTCAAACCCTTGAAAGTTGAGGAATCATTTTCAAAAAGCAAATCAATATTTTAAAAGTGTTATGAAAGCATTATATCAATGAACCCTTTGTACTGATGTGTCTTAGATTTGGATTTTATTTTCAGGAACTAAACATGGAGACACGCCTCCGTTTCCAGGCAGGTAGAATTTGTTAAGTGTACTTCTATAATTTATTCAACTGGTTGCCCTTCCAAGTTTAAGGAGGAAGAAAAAAAAAAAAACATCTTCTCAAATAATTCTTCCCACTGCGATTTCTAGCAGGAGCAATACTGGAGGGGGTTGGTAAGAGTGAATGAAGAGGTGTGAGCTCTGTTTAATTGAACATTGTTGGTGAAAGTAAATGGGACAGTGCTTATCTATAATTCACACCTCTTCAGTTGCTGTTATCAAGCCGTTAGAGGATCTGTTTTCATGGGAATTGCTGCTGTTGCTGAGACACTCAAATAATAATTTATTTCCCATTACTTCCTTATATCCACTTGGATGGCAAAATACCATTCTCTAAGCTTCCCTTTCCCCATGTAGAAAGAATGGGATGGATACGAGTAAATATGGAATATTCTTTTTCTTTTGTACTTAAAAAATGCAGTCAAATATTGCATTACACCCTGCATATAAATGCACAATTATGTTTGGCCATCTCCTTGGCTCAAGACTTCCTTTCTAAGCCTGGGGAGAGTGATATCGTCTTAAATGTATCTTTATGGATGGAGAGGGATTTCAGTCCTGTGCAGTATGTCAGAGATCATGATGTAGTAAATCTATTCAAATGTAAACCTGTTCAATTCAATTACCAGTTCATAATAAAATTTGCTGCTACAACCCCCGTGTTGACCACAGCAGTCCATACAGGCTGATGGCACAGCAGGTCTGGAAATTGACAGACAAAATCTATTTAAACAAAAAACAACATTAGTTCTAGAATCTAAAATGAAATCAAATGCCAACAGCTTTGATAGGAACCATCTTTTCTCTAACAGGTATTTTTTAGTAAACCAACCAAGTGCATTTTAAAGTCTCACCTGAGGGAAATGAAGAGATTTTCATTAAAAAAGTGGTGTATAGGAAAATGTCTCTTCTAAAAATAATAATCCTTAGTTTTGTAGACTAGAATTTCTACTAATTGAGGCAAATGACTTTGAAAGATATCTGACAGTAGATAGGAGTGTGAAAGAGAAACAGTGGCTTAGTGGGTAAATACTTCTGGTTACATTGCACTGTGCAAAGTTAAGTTCTTAGAAGATAGACCTTCTTAGGGCCGGCACTGTGGCACAGTGGGTTAATGCCCTGGCCTGAAGCACTGGCATCCCATATGGGTGCTGGTTCTAGTCCCAGCTTCTCCTCTTCCGATCCAGCTCTCTGCTATGACCTGGGAAAGCAGTAGAAGATGGCCAAAGTTCTTGGGCCCCTGCACCCATGAGGGAGACCTGGAAGAAGCTCCTGGCTCCTGGCTTTGGATCGGTGCAGCTCCAGCCATTGTGGCCAATTGGGGAGTGAATCATCGGATGGAAGATCTCTCTCTCTGCCTCTCCTCTCTCTGTGTAACTCTGCCTTTCAAATAAATAAACAAATAAATCTTTTTTTTTTTTTTTAAAGATCTTCTCAGTAGCTAGCATCAGAGTTATATATGAGTAACTACATTTGATTTTTTTTTTTTTAGCAGAGAGACAGAGATCTCTTATCTGCTGGCTCATTACCTAAATGGCCACAATAGCCTGGGCTAGGCCAGGCCGAAGTCAGGAGTCAGAAACTGAATCCAGATGTTCTACGTGTGTGGCAGGGACCCAACTAGTTCAGCCATCACCTGCTACCTCCTAGAGTACACAGTAGCAGGAAGCTGGGGTTGGGCGCCAGAGCTGGGACCTGAACCCAGACACTCTGATATGGGATGCAGGCCTCCCAACCAGCGTCTTAACCGCTATGTCAAATGCCTGCCCCTGATTTTAACCTAAGAGTTTTTGAATTAAAAAATGATTACCAGTTGAAGCAAGAGGTGTGTGTGTGGGGGAGACTGTTGTGTTGGAGTGATACCATAACAAAACTTTAAGAAATACAGTTAAACAAATGATATTTTGTTCAACCAATTGGTAGTACCGTTCAGCGTTCTGAAAAATCCCCTTCGTCTCTTTCTGTGCTCTACTTTGCTGGTAAAAGTCACGAATGATGGGCCAGTATTATTTTTTCAGCATTATACCATACCACATGTCAGAGAAAACCCATCTATTACTTGATATCTGGTCCCAACATTCCCTTTTCATTTTTTTCAGGTATTGCTTATTTGAAGGAAAAAACAAGAACTAATCAAGGTGCACCTATAAATCTGGTCAAGATTTATTTTTATTTTGATCTTTCCCCTTGGTTATTTAAAGGCTACAGTAGAATGTACCTACTGTCACTAGTTCAGTTTTCTGTCACTAGTAAACAGAGACATTGTATGAAAGCAATAAATATTTTATATAGATATAGAATTCACTGATCAAAGGATTGAAGCACATTTGATGTTTATTGGCACAATGGGTTTAACCTTGGCAACTCAAGTATTTTTCTTTTTTAGGTGAACAAAAGACTCATATTTATGTACAACACTATATTCCAGCCAGTTTGGCCTCCACAGATGAATCTGGCCACACAGAGGACCAGTTTAGTTATTGCATGCCAAGAAAGTATGATATTTACTTTGCCTTTAGAAAAAAAGAAAAAAAACCTGTTGTTTAACCTTTCTAATCTTCAGTTTCATCATCTGCAAAATGATGACATCGATAATAGTATTTGCAAATAAAGTGTT